TTATGTTCCCAAAAAATGCAGAAAGAAAATAGAATAAGGATAACCACTTGTAACTACAAAAAATTTGGAACGCTGTGGTTGTCTTAGCTATGATAAATGAAGGATCACCTTGGAATATAATTCATTTTTAATTGCCTCTTCCATCTAATCTAACTACTGCTGTAGGCTGTCTTAAAATATTTACAAAGTAAAAGCACAAAAAGAATTTGAGGTGCTAAATAAAGCAGGTCACATATTGCTAAGTGATCAATTTTTCTGGTATTGAGTTTACAACAAAAACAAAGTCCTAACTCTTACACATGGCATTTTTGGAAACACAAATAGTTTAAGGACTATCTCTCTTAAAGTTAAAGCTGTTTTTAATTCACCTTCTTCCCTGCCTTAATTATGGTATCCTTACTATATCTAAATATCCTGTCATAAAAAAGAGAAAAATTATAGTAAAATGCTTGAAAGATCAATCTTACAGCCATTATGCTCTAACAACTTGTGAAGTTTTATACTTACTAGCCCAGTCTTACTCTCTCCAATATGCTAGGTATATCTGGAAACACATTCCAGCTCACATACTGCCCTCATAATTCTCTTCTTTGAGTTTCAGAAACGTCTTAGAGGTTCCAACTGAAAATAAAATTCTGAAAAAATGTACAAAACTCCTACATGTCACACTATTGTTAAATGCTTGGCCATATTTTATTATCAGAAATATATAATCATAAAGTGCACTAATATTATCCATTTTATTCACAGCAAAATAATGTGTTTTGATATCAAATTAGATTTGAGACAGTTGCATTTTAACAGCTAAAGATGTGGGTAGTTTCACTTAGACACAGGCATTCCCAATACTATGCATGAAGTAAACACTTTTTTTACTAATGATGAATATAAATACACAATCTTAAAGAGATGCTAACCACTGTTTATAGTTCCTCAAATTCTAGGTGTTCGAGTGACAGAAAAATCTCTTGCAAACTCACATGCTATTTTAGGTTGTTCCAAATATACTGATTAGACAGAGTAATGGGAAGAAAAGATTACAGATCAGTTGAAACGCTAAATACACATAGATTATTACAGGGGTGTAGTGTTGGATCCACGAGTGCCTGGTCCTCAACTTGGGATGATCCAGCCAAATATTAATAGCATACTATTATATTTACAGTTAGAGATAATACTACCCTGATGCATCTTTAAATAACTGTGCTCCTTACCATCAGAGTACTACAAAATATATTTTAGATAATACCAAGAGGCATAAGAAAATCAGAACACATAAAATGATCATTGACAAGATTTAGGCTTATTCAAGGAAAAACTCCATTGTAGAAATTCAAGTAGATGTAATATAAATACACATTCTGCACTAAGTATGATAATACTAACTCAGCACATCACAGTATAAAAATAGAAAAAAATAAAAAACTGTACTTATAGTGGTCATCTATTTGGCATGATTCCACGAGAAAGCCACAGCTGTCAAATTCTCAACCTGACAATGAACATTTACCTGCTAGGGGCTTAGAGTTACCTTTGTTTTAGATTGATCCACGATGTTTTCAAGTACTCAGTGGTTTCCTTCACATTCCTTGTGTCATCACTGCCATATTCCTCCAGCAGTTTCTGCAGGACATTATCAAATGCCATGATGATACCATCACCAGGACCCAGTTCTTGAAGCAATATCTAAGGTGCAAGTTCAAGTGTAATTGTTAGAGTTGGTCACTCAGTAACTAGTTTTACCAAAACAAAGGTACTTCTAGGAGGTTTCAACATGTTTTAGATACAGATATCACAATAAGAAAATTAAGTAGGGGACAAACTCTTACACATAAGCTTAAACCAAAATAATTCTAGAAGGGAGAATGAAGATTTCTAAGAAAGTGATCAGATACATAGAGGATGCTATTAAAAAATTATCTTTTTCTCTTTGAGATATTTTACTTTCTCAAACCATTTGTCTTTGTCATTCCTTCTGTGGTACATCTGATCCTTATAGGAACACACATCCTACAGGAACGAATACTAAGAGAATTCCTCTGTAAGTACTTGGAGAAATGCCAAGGACCAGTAATATAAAAGTCCCTGTCTCTTGCCCCTGGATCACTGCCCCTGTTACAGAGTTAACTGCTTGAATGGATCAGGCAGCCAAGCAAGGTTTACTGAGAGTTTGCTTGAATAGCCAAACTGATGCTGAGTTTGTCCATAGGCGTTGGTTCCTTGACACATTTTTTCAATCTCTGAGGGTCTCTGGATCCAGATAATTCCCATGAAATCTAAAGGACAACAGAATGTTTCTATAATGTTTTTTGTAGCAACTGGAAAAAAATATTCACCCTAAGGTTTCAGAACACAAGAACTGTACTGTTGATTAGAAAAGGGTATTCTGAATGTGGTGACAAAACATTGATATCACTTTTAATTATATTCCTCTAGTTAAGTGTCTGGGGGCTTTGTTACTACTTTTGAGTCATTTGGTGATAACAACCAGTGGGTATCATAAACACAGAGAATGATCCAGAAACTAGTACACCTGGCCACTTGCTTTTTAAGTAGTAACCACAGAAAGTCTATGTTTGTGGGGAATAAAAACGTATTTCATGTTTTAGATTTTGTCTCCTACATATTCTCTATTATTTTCTTCACAAATATACACTTTCATCTTGGGCTATCTGAAGGGTAAATAAATGCTACACCAAAATATAACTCCTCAACCACAACCTCAAATTCAAGAATATTTTTATGATTATAGAGAGAATCTAAAATAGCACTTTATAAATACCATAGGTGTTCAATAGTGCCAACTCTATGACCAAACTGATCACTAAAAAGGTACTTGTTATCATGATATTGATAAAACGGTTTGGTTATAAACATATTAAAAGAAACTAAATTTACTTATTACCTGATTTATTCAGTACAGTAGCCCTCAAATGAAAAATCTCAGGAAATTTTATAAATAAAAATAACCTTCAGGGTAAGCATGGAAGGGGGCAAAAGAGAGTTCTTGGAATCCTGAGAATGTTCTCTTTCTAGATGATAGTTCATGGGTATGTTCCATTTGCAAAGCGTCAGTGATCTATAAATCTAGCAGACATGCACATTCCTACCTGTTAGGCCTCCAGAAAGTTTTCAAAAAACCTTCCTGATCAAATTCTTCATATAAATTTTAATATGTACTCTAAGAACTTGGGAAAACATCCTAATAGGGTCCTAAGAATCATACTTAACAACAGGAAAAAAAGTACATCCAACAAAATGATACTTCCAAAAAGTATCTAATGACTCTTACTTGGTTATCAGAAATTTGTTTGGTAAGTGGATCCCTTCGGGCTTGCTGAAGAATATAGAGTCGAGCCTCATATTTTCTCATAAGCTCTTCGGTCTCTTCCCTGTGGTCATCCCACTGAAGACTGTCGATGATCATGTCCTCCAGCTGCTGCTGTCTTAACTCCACGCCATGCTGGGTGCT